TCTCCAATTAAGCATTAAAACGCAGATACTTTGTCATCGTTAAGCATAAAATATGCCATTTTATGCTTAAAATCGTTACCAGCAAAAAGAGTTTCCAGTTCTAGCAAAAATGGGTTATGTATATGGTTTTATATAGCAGTAGCGTAATGCAATTACGTGTAATCTATGAAAGCGTGGTCTTACCCTGGTCGGCCGATTTATTTGTGCGCGAGTAATGCGTAAAAGTAAAATTAAAATTATTTTTTTTAGCCGTTAGATATTAATACGTCTCAATACTCATCACAGGCTTCACCTATTTTCAGAAAGGTTTATGGAGCCATTAGTCTGCCACACTAGTCCGATTCTTTTAGTGGGCTTCACATGTTCACATGTTGCTCAGACATGCAGATTTGCCCATGATGTTTTCCTTCACCATTGATCACGCGGTAAATTGAGACTTAAAATATCGTTGGTGTCGTTTAGGGATCGAAACAGGTTTGAACGTACTCTGAAATTTTCAGCAACACTTAATTCCTAGCTAGTTACCATGGCACTCTGCGCGGTTCAGTGGTACAGCTGCAATTTGTCTCTGCTACGTAAAAATTAATGACGCATCCTGAAGTTCCACCTCCGCCAGCCTGAATAAAAATTTGAGTTGCCATTTCTTATGTATGTGTATATGTCAATGAACTCTTTAACGGCTGGACTAATTTTGATTATTTTAATTTAATTAAATATATTTTTTTTTTTTTTTGGTGGGTAAGTGGTGGGGTTGGGTGTTTTTTGGGGGTTTTTTTTGGTGGGGGGGGGGTGGGGGATGTTTGGGTGGTTTTTTGGTTGGGGGGGTGTCGTGGTTGGTGGTGGTGGGGATAGGGGTGGTGGGTGCTAGTATGGGAGGTTGGGGGGGGGGACTGCTTTTTATGTGTGTGTTCGAGTGGGTTAGATTCACAACTTAAGCAATAACTGTTGTAAAGATCCATAAATCAATCGTGCGAAGCCGGGATGTATAGATTTTTGTCGGTTAAATGGAATACGAAAATCTAAATAGTCTTTTCTTTTAAGGAAAAAGAGTAAAAGATGACCACACAGTCCAGATATTGGTAAATGGATGCTGTAGCCTACAGATATTTACACTTATCCTCAATCTCAATCAATCAAGTAAATTTAAATCAAATAAGAATCAAAATGCAATTGAATTTTCACCCCTGAGGACTGAGATGGAATGCCGTGTTTACAGTAAAATGCGTTTCCGGTATTCGACACTGTCCATACGAAACAAAGCAGCATTAGTCTGCAATTTTACGCTGGTATTCTGTGAGAGCGGTCCCGGTCGAACCGACCCTATCGTGTTGCATCCAAAATATAGCTGCAGCTTGGTTCTACCACGTATAAAGACAGCCTATATATATTATATATATATAATTATATTTTTTTTTTTTTTTTTTAATAAATATATATATATATATGCTAATGCTGGAAACAGCCCGCTTTCGTTGTTAAAAGGGTTATAATTAGTCAACTGCGTAGTGTTCATGTATGCTTCACAACATCTAGAAACATTTTCTTAGATATGCATTAAGTGCCATGATCAAAATGTTATATGAAATACCACAAACAACAATATACTATCATGTTATTTTTCTGTTTGCAACTATTTTACTGACGTTCATGAAACACAAACATCCGTATTACATTTTTGTTTCAATAGCGCTCGTAGCTTTGTCTTGTAAACAACGTGAGACTTATCTTTAATTAAAAACAACATATTTGAACGGAAAAGAGTATGTTTTTTCGTTTGTAAAGCACCACGTTTTTAAAAATTACAGAGAAAATATATTTAAGTGGAAAAAATCATAAATATTTAGAGGCCTACGATATTTTGACGCTTGTTCTTAATTGATGACCGCCCGACATCCGTTAGGCGCTACACAAATAAAGCGAAAATTTAGAGAAGAGCTTGAATAATATGCGATGGAATGTTCAAACAACAAGCTTAAGTAAACCAAAATACCAACATTTCTTGGGTAAGGTCACTCTACAATGAAGGGTGGAATTTCCGCATTTTACTTCGATTTTCTTGAGGTGTAGTTTGGACGTGGTTAAATTAGAAAAAGGCAAAATATAATATTTTATTTCCCATAAGACTGTCGGCTATTATGTATTATCATTATATTTTACAGACCAAGGCGGAGATGGCTATGTCCTTAAGTTATGTCTTATTACCAAGTGGCGGTCGGCGCTGACTGTGACAAAAGCGTATCTATCGCACTACCGATATACAGCAAATGGGTGTAATATACAGGGGGTTTTTATTAATACTCATTTTTACACGCGTCTGGTTTTATGTATAATTATTTATTATTGGGTTATTAATAGAGTAATCACATCTGGTTGGGCTGGATAAATATATAAAGGGAAAAATAAATATACTTAAATATATATTTAATATACTAACATAAATAAATAAATAATACTTAAATAAATAAAAGCCCAACCAGATGGAAGCCCTCGGCGGGGGAGACCAAACGGCCGAGGGTTAGGGGAAAAGGGAAAGAAACCGGCGGGCGATGCGGGCGGTATCAAGGACCACCGCCTTCTGCAGTTGAGCCCGGAGCAGTCCGTCACGGAGTCCCAGTTGCCTCAGATAGCCCGAGAGGCTGGCTGGGATTAACCCGTGTGCAGACAACTACAGGAATAATTTCGGTGGAACCTTGTGCGGTCGTTTTGGGATACGGACTGGTAATGTCGACCAAAAATATCCTTGACTGTGCCCAGTCCATCAGTACCATATCAGGCTTATTCGCAAGAATAGTCCTGTCTGTGATGATGGCCCGGTTCCAATAGAGCCTGGCGCGGTCATTTTCGAGCACGGCTTCCGGCAAGTACTTGTAATACGGCAATTTTCGGTCCACGAGACCGTATTTCAGAGCGAGCTCCTGGTGTAGAATTCTGGCTACTAGGTTGTGGCTTTGCAGGTACTCAGAGTTAGAAAGCGCCGAACAATCGGAGATGACATGCCTAAGTGACTCCCAGGGATGGCGACAAGCTCGACAGACGTCGACAGTGCCATCCTTTAGGATGTATCTCCGATAGTTGTTGGTCTTAATAACCTGATCCTGTATTGCACAGATAAAACCCTCGGTTTCCCCCGAAGAGGTCACCGAAGCGTAGCCAGTTGAGGGAGGGGACTGTTTCTACGAAGGGCTCATGTACAGCCCTGTAGTACCTCCCGTGGAGCTCCTTCTCCTTCCATACGGTCTCCCGGTCGGAAATGCTCTGTACTGCCGGTTCTTGCCTTTGCTCGTTGGCTAAGGATAGAGGGGTAAGTCCTTTATCACTAGAAATGACGTCATTATAGAATGGATCATCCGATCTCGCCAGGAAGTAATGACGGAGGCTGCACACTTCGCGATTATGCATGGTGAGCGCGCTCAGGAAGCCACGCCCACCATGCTTTCGTGGCAAGTACAGGCTATTGAAAGAGAAACGTAATACGGATGTTTGTGTTTCATGAACGTCAGTACAATAGTTGCAAACAGAAAAATAACATGATAGTATATTGTAGTTTGTGGTATTTCATATAACATTTTGATCATGGCACTTAATGCATATCTAAGAAAATGTTTCTCATTACTGACGATCTCGGATGATGCATCCTGTACTGTACTGTATTTTGATCATGGCACTTAATGCATATCTAAGAAAATGTTTCTCATTACCGAAGATCTCGGATGGTGCATCCTATGGGACGTCATGGTAGTGCGGACTTTCCTATCTAGGGCGTTAAGTTCAGTCTGGGTCCACCTGAGTATGCCAAAGGTGTACATGAGGACAGGCATGACCCAACCGTTATATGCGTGTGTCTTATTCACACCGGACAAAAAGCTATTAAGCACTTTGGTCAAGCGTGCACAAAACACGTCGCAAACTGACTGTTTCATACCAGCCTCATCGATACCGATGTTCTGTGACATACCCAGGTATCGGTATGTTTCAGCCTCGGACAGGGTCTTCAAGTTGACGGGCATAGATAAGTCTATGCCCTCAGAGTTATCAACCCTTCCCCTTTCAACATGGAGGACCGCATCTTCTTCCAAAGAATTGCTATTCAGTGGTGCAATTCCATAAGATGGGAGCGACTGGAGGCGCACGAGGAAAGTGAAGCAACTTGAGGTCATCCATATAGAAAAGGTGGGTCACTTTTGTACCTCCTTTTCGAAGCTGAAATCCCCTCCCGGAACCCTCTAGTAAAGTACTGAGAGGGTTCAAACCAGATTGGACTCAGACAATCTCCCTGGAAGATACCCCTTCTTATCCTTATGTGGTTCTCCGCAGCCAACATCCGCTCGCCCAGATAGCAAAGGATCGTACTCAATTGCCCCATACACTGCTCTAGGAAGTCTCCAACTGTACAGTCAATTTTGTACAGCTGGAGGACTTTCTTTAGCCATGTATGGGGCACCGAGTCGAATGCCTTTCTGTAGTCTATCCAGGCGGCGGAGAAATTACGACGGTTGCGTTTCACCACTTTGCCAATGACCGCGTCAATGAGGAGTGGTTCCTTGGTTCCACGACCACCGCCCCGACAACCATTTTGAGCGCATGAAATCACCTGATTTAATTCCAGATGACCAGTGATTCTCGCGCTCATAATGGATGTCTGTGTCTTATATATGGTGAGTAGACACGTGATGGGGCGGTATTTGCTCGGGTCTGTGGTATCCTGATCTTTAGGATCCAAATGAGTGATCCCAATAGTGAAGAGGCTCGGGAGCGACTACTGATCGAGAGCCTCTTGAAGCTGTCGGGCGAGCACAGCGTGATACACTACTTCAGCCAGTAGTGATGCAGCCCGTCAAGCTCCGGACTTTTCCAGTTCGGTTTTTGTTTTTTTTTTTTTTGGTTTTTGTTGTTTGGGTCGGCTGGGACAATTTTGTTACCTGAAGCTTGTCAGTCTTCCGATAAGGGCTCTTTTCTTTGCGATACGGTCCTCAATTCTTTTTCTCCAGGCTGGGATGGCGTTACTTTTTTGAGTAGCATGTCCAGCCACGGGAAGTTTGGCGCCAATAATACGGCATACTGCCAGTGCGGCGCCAAAAAGAATTGAGTCCGTCTCGCAAAGCAGTCACCGGCTGGTTAAGCGCGACAGCCCGATTTCGCTTGCTAAGGGATATGCGGGGAAGTTTCGGTCGATTTTCGAGAGGCATGCTGCGCGTTTCCAGCATCGACTCTTCCAATATGCTCCTTATTTTCTCTAGTTCGTGGGAGACTATTCCATCATCGTCTGAATTAGCCACAAATGGAATTTTGACGGCAGCATCCACATATGCGGCGCACCGTAGCATTTCCATTCGATCAAGGAATAGCCTCACGTCGTAGTCGTTCGAGTTCGGCGTCACCAAATATGTTGGAGCGCAGGATGTACCGAACTCGGTCTGCCAGGTTTTGCTCAGTGACGGATAGAGAAGGCTCCAGCTCTGCAAAAAAGCGATGCATCCGAGCCCGATACGCCAAACATCCAGTTTCTTCCCCTTTTGCCATAAATTACGCCCGCAGTGCGTTTGCATTCATCCCCTTTTGCCATAATTACGCCCGCAGTGCGTTTGCATTCATTAATTTTGACAAACGCATGCGACGTGCTCCACCAGCGGCGGGTGCCGCTTACTGAGTCCGAGAAGACCCAGCCGACACCAAGCCTTCTGGTGGGGATGATGGATGCGGGGGCTGCTAGGTGGTCTTGCACCACCCCGCGCTCGGCTGGCGGCCCGCATGCTGTCGCGTCCAGCGCCAGCTCCAGACGCGACCTGGCGACCTCCAGGCAGCGGCCCTTTGCGCACTGTCTTTTTTTTCCATTATCCATAATTTGGGCTTCCATTAACGGGAAACGCCCTAACCCGGCACCGTATCGTGGATGGCCATAAGCACAAACGGGCCTTTGCACCCTGAATTCTGCTGAGGCACGGCGTTCACACTTCTCGCAAGTCGCTGACTGACTGCGTTGACGTAGCAGTTTTGTCACATAACTGTTACGTCAGCGGGCAATGGGGTCGTCAATTCCCTACGCCAAATTAATTATTTATTATTATTAAAATATTTAAAAAAATGTAGGCCGTCACAATTTTTTTTTTGAATGGGCCACACGCATTGAAGGAAATATTTGCGGAAATTGGCGCATTTGGCTGGGGATTAAAATGTCATAATACTCATTTAGAAGTTTTGACATGGTTTCTCATCGCCGGTTCGAGTATATTATGTTTAGCGGATTAGATATAAAAATGAATGATATTGTTGTGTAGTTAATTATCATCCCTTGCGTACAACAAGGGATGATAATTAACTGCGCAACAATATCAAAGTCTATGATGATGTTTCATAATGAATAATTAATTCTAAATTCTCAAATAGATTAGAATAGAATCACTTTTATTCAGTATAGATAACAAGAATACTTGTAATCTATATTGAATAAAAACTAAAATCAATGAAAGTCACTTTTTACTTTTAACACTGGTTGGGGGAAAACCCCCCTCAACATTCCATAGGTAATTTGTAAATGAATAAAATCAATTTATAATACCTATAGAATGTTATACATTAGTGGATTATGGAAATATGACAAGGAATTTACTATTTATATACTGTTTAAAAGAATTGATGGAAGAAGTTTTGTAAAAGTATGGTTACTTAAGTTAAAGTTACAGCCTTTACGTCCCACTCCTGGGCACAACCTCATTTCTGAGAGGGTTTCATGGGATGTAATAGTTCACCTTGCTGCACCAATGCGTGTTGTCAGACTTCACAAGTCTTCGAAATATTTTTTCTTATTTCTCAAAAATGCAGGTTATCACAGCATTTTTTTTTCAGCACCGATTACGAGATAAAGCAGCACTGAAAAAGGCAATTAACAATTTTATTGGTGATGGTGGATGTTGTGAAACTAACAGCCAACGTTTAGCCCTGTAAGTACGGTTACAGTTGGTGCATATCTCAATAACATCTTCAACATTGTGTCGTAAAATACAAACTACTATTGTGAATGTAACATATTATTGCGCGTATTTAATGCCTATCAAAATATTTTTTATGCACTATATACGTAACTAATTAACTATAGTATGTATAACTATGTATATATAATATTAGTTTATAGCATAATAACAATTCCAACATTTATGTTACAGTATGTAGTAATATGTTGATTACGTATGCCATTAGTGAAAATCACTGCAATAATACACATACAGTAACAACATTAGATTGCGGTGTTGCTTGACATAATATGATTGATTAGAGTTGTATGATAACAATGGAAACGTAAAGGTGAATTTATTCTAATTATATCGTATTTAATACAAAATATAATTATTGTTTAAACTAAAGAATACTGTGAATATTTCACAGTATTCTATTTTAACAGAAAACTCATAGCCTCAGCAGTACATTTTACAATACGCGAGCAAAATCAGTTTTATCCCCGCTGGTAATAATCAAACTCTTAATAGTATTTTTAAATTTTGATTTACTATATGCACGGCGATGAAGGCTCAAATCTCTCAGAAATAAGAGGAGGCTTTGCGCAGTAGGGTATACATGGGCTGTCATGAATACATTCATCACATATAATTAACTTTCATATCTGCCATAGTTGCCACGCTCGGCATGCGAGTTAGAAACTTTTTTTGCGGGTTTCAAATCCGTGGCCCATAACACGAGCACGCTCGCGTAAATATACGGATGTAAGGACGCGAGAGAGGTGTGTCAGTATCATGCTAAATGGAAGTTCGTAGTCTCTGCTCGCCCCTCTGGGTGACGGGTGTGAGTGTTTATGTTATGTTTTATTTTATAATGCGTACAGCAAGGGAGTAGATTAAATTGCCCTCATCTGCTTTTCTATCCGTTTTTAATCTGGATGTCTTCAAAGCAATAAGACTGCAGAGGCCTATGTTACGCTAAGAGCGTGCGATCTATTATCTAAGGCTTCATAATCGCTTACCACCAGGTGGAATTGTAGACATATAAACAAGTGCTGGCTTACATTAAGTAAAAAAAAACATGGTCATGTTTCGGATTTCACTACAACAAATACAAAACTGTGAGTCTTTAAAATCGTATGCCCCACTGTATAAGAAAGCTTTTTATAACTGAAGCCTTTATCTTAGCCTCGATTTTTCGAGAAGTTTGCGATCACGTCTCTTAGGAGCTGTATTAATCAATCTTCAGATTCATTTATTTTCTCAGTCGAGGGGCTCATATTTCTTACGAAAAAGATAACATTGTAATACTTCATGTTTTCAAATTGGATTTCATATATCGTGAAATATGATGTTATAAAGGATTTCATATGATTTATAATAATTTTGTATTCCATATACATAATTATATTGTATTAATGTATAAATAATTATATTATAAGAAAAAAATATTCTTTTTATAGAAAATCTCTCCTGCGAAATGCTACTTACTTGAACACTTTAGTATTAGGAGCAACCGAATTAAGAAAATGAGTGTCAAGTATGTCTGTCTATCTAATTGTGCCATTTAGTAAAGTGACTGTCATTCCGTGACTGTCTACAAGTTTCTAAAAGAACTACTATTGCTATATACCTACTAATTATTGCGGCTAGTTACAAGTGTTGTGGTTCCTTTCTCGCTTAAAAGCTTGGTATGGTCATTCAGTGAAAAAGTCCTTCTTCGCCACCAAGGGGAATAGAACTATATTGTTATGAAGTTTTTATTTTTCACTGTTATGAGTATTGTAAAAATTGTGTAATATATTATTTTTATAATATATTAACGTGTAGTGGCGGTATAAGAATATCCACTACCTGATATAATCCCATGGTTGTCGTAAGAGATGACAGTGGGAAACAAAATCGTCTTCCTAATGACAACCAAAAATAAAAGGCTGCGGTACACCTTCAGATCACAATCAAGTCCGGAGGTGAGATATTATCATAGCTAACAAAACGAAGCCAAACTCGGCACACCAAGTTCTACTCTTCGAAAAGTTCCTGTAGCAGATACCGAAGTACACCTTCAGGTCACTCCATAACGTCCAAAATTTATAATGATATTTTAAAATCCAGTAGCGTGTAATGTAAATCTGTGATTATAAAAGTAATTATAATATCTTACCTTATGTGGCGGCGCTGTCGTCGCGCCACAAGGGAAACACACCGAATCCTAAATCGCGCTATCAACATTCCAAATCATAAACAGTATATATAGTACAGTTCCGAACTATCACACGAAGCGTTTGCTGCTCCTCGGGCAGAACATCTTGTCCGGCGGGAGATCTCCCCTTTTCTTACTTCGGCCACAGTGGTGACCCCGACATTATCTGAACACGCAACTAACTATCTTCGGAAACTTCAAGCTTCATCATCGTCGTAGAGTACCCCACCCATTCGCTCCCGAGCAGATATCGTCAGCAGTCTTCATATCCTGCAAGCCATCTAGCTTCACAAGGTTCATTGCAGCATTGGAATAATAGTACTTCATGTTCCTTCAAGCTACTCTCTGCGTTATACAGTGTTTGGCACGGCTCTGAGCCTTACTGCCCGCCTCTGCTTCACGGCACTCTCGCAGATTACTTGCCTTCTTCTTGACTCACCGCAGACTACAAGGGAATCTCCTGGCACATGCACATTCGTCGGCAACGAGGCTGCACTATCGACCTCCGGTCTGAGCAGGGGGTGAAGCGAAACACACTGAAGCCTAAATCGCGCTATCAACATTCCGAATCATAAGACGTATATATAGAACAGCTCCGAACTAACTCACGGAGCGTTGACTGCTCCCTGGGCAGAACACCTTGCCCGGCGGGAGATCTCCCCTTTTCCTACTTTGGCCACACTTGATCAAGTATGTATCGTATCAAAATTGGTTTTTGAAATATTTTACATTTCTACAGCGATCGATATTTTTCTTCACAAGCCGCTGTAAACAAACGATACAGTAATCCGCTTACGACGGCGGCCGAGCCCGGAGTGAGTCAAAGTGTATCTGTATTTATTAAAATATATTATAACAAGGCTGCCCAAACACTCAGACAATTTCTCAGACGGAAAAAATATTTATAAATAAACAAAACAAAATCATAACGCCATTTACACTTCGTGACTTCCCACATGAAGATGATGATATTAAAAAATAGATTGAGTGGGATTGGAACGTTTGTTTTTTGATTTTTAGGCGCTAGTAAGACATACCATTGCACTTTACGGTTAAGGCATGCATGCTTTTTCACTTCATTAACTCTAAATATGTTGAATAATTAAATATATAGAAGAAAACATTATGTTCTATTTATAACGCATAACAAAGAACTTTTCGACAAATTTTGTTATAGATACACGTTTTAAAGTTTTTGTCCATTTAAAAAGCCACACCCACACCACCGTATTATTAATATTGCTTAGACCAGATTGGTTAAGGCGTCTAATCACAGCGAAGACCAGCCATTTCGCGCAGGACAGAATTATAATTCACGATTGTATGTGAAGAAGAGATACACTCTCTATTACCTCACTCTCATAGTCAAGTTGGTCGTCAATTCAACACAAAT